TGCCGTGTCACTGGAGGGCCCGAAACACCTTCTGTTTTTTCCATCCTCCTCATCCTTAATCAGGGGCTAATCAGGAACCTGGGACACCAGGTGGAGTGCATTAACTACCAGGTAGAAATAAAACACCGAAGTGTTTCGGCCCTGAAGAACCCTGTTCTATATCACCACACACTGAACAGTGGTGATGTTCTAGAGCAACCACAACACAACCTGTGAACAGTGGTGAATGTTCTAGATCAACCAACACACTTACGTGGTGATGTTTCTAGATCAAAACCACACACTGGACAGTGGTGAATGTTCTAGATCAACCAACACACTGTCAGTGGTGAATGTTCTAGATCAACCAACACACTGTCAGTGGTGAATGTTCTAGATCAACCAACACACTGTCAGTGGTGAATGTTCTAGATCAACCAACACACTGTCAGTGGTAATTCTAGATCACGCAACACATGTAGTGTGAATGTTCTAGATCAAACCAAACCTGTCAGTGGTGAATTCTAGATCAACCAACCACTGTCAGTGTGATGTTCTAGATCAGGTGGTCAAACTCATTCCAATGGAGGGCCTGAGTGTCTGCAGGTTTTTAGTTTTTTTCCCCCCTTTCATGAAGATGTAACACCAGTGGGGGAGGAGTTCCTACTATCAGTGCCTTTTCAATCAGTCAGGAGTGAAAAAACTCGCCCTACTAATATTTGACATGTCATAGTCACTATCCCAACATGGAGTGTTCTAGATCAGGGTTGACTCCAGGACCCCCAACAGCACACATTTTTTGTTGTTGCCCCGGACAAGTACACCTGATTCAACTCGTCAACTAATCATCAAGCCCTTGATGAGTTGAATGAGGTGAGTTCGTCTGAGCTACAACAACAACAAAAAGGTGTGATGTAGGGGGATACTGGAGGACTGGCGTTGGGAAACACTGTTCTAGATCAACCAACACACTGACAGTGGTGAATGTTCTAGATATACATATATTTCACTCTCACCATCCCAGTGCTCTGAGCTAGGCTAATAAGCAAGAGTTTGAGTCAGTTGAGTATCTGTAGAATGTTCCGCTGTGAAAGAGAGTACACCCTCACACCCGCTTAGAGAGAATGAATTATTAAAAGGAGAACAGAGGGTGAAAGACAGGAAAAGCTAATCTCTTAGGTGGGAAGCTCATCTCTTAGGTGGGAAGCTCATCTCTTAGGTGGGAAGCTCATCTCTTAGGTGGGATATGTACATCAACTCTTGTGTGGTGTGTCACAATTGAAAGTGGAGAGAAAAGCCACAATAAAAAGAGATCAGGACAATCCATACTGCTAGGTAAAACATTTATAAATTAATAAAAACGTTCCCTTTTTTAGTGTTTCTTACAGATTTTTCCCCACAAGGTTTTTTGTTTTTGTTTCATTTGTTTGTTTTTTTCTCTTTTAATTATAGAAAAATATTTCAGACATTCATTTCGCATGTGTTTCATTCAGTCCTGTTGATTAATTCATATGCCCCTGTATTCCTAAGACCCATTGGTTTATACATTATTTACAGATTAACTCAGTCCATCTCCCGTTTCAGCCTTGGCGTTGGAACACCAGAGCATGTTTGCATAGATTCCAGGAGAGATCTATCAGGGCAAGTCTATCCATCCTTTCACAATACAGGAAAAAAGTGAGGAAGAACAGCTGACATAATTTCCAGAAAACTACACTTAAAAATCAAAACGGTTTGAATCACACAGTGAGAGGTGTTCAGCTCTCTTGTGGTTTTTCTAGTCAATTGGAACGGTTACCACATCCTCTCCAACACAGTTTAAATAAAAGATGAGCAGTTAATAGGAAGTCATGAAGTTACAGTAGAGGATCTTTCTCAAACCTCAACTGCATGGCATTTTGTGGAGTGGCCGGCTGGCAGTTAGAGAGACTGGGCTGTAAGAGGGAGAGGCTGAAGAAGATTACTGCTGCCGTGCACACACAGGTCAATACTAAAAGACAAAACCTGGAAAGAGCTGAACACGCTCACAAAACATCAAAAACAATCAATACAATTGAAATAGTTGCTTGAATTTCTTAGCATTTTCATTTTCCTTATTGTAAAAATGGTTAATTAACATGGTGAAACAATGTATTGAGACAAAATAAAAAAATAAAACAGAATGAAAAAGGGATAGCCCAGTCAAGGTAAGTATCTGACATCTGAACCTTGCATTTCTTTCCAGAGAGAACTTAGCGGGTCACATTGGAAGGGTGAATGAACGGACAGACTGGGGACAGACAGGAAGGTTAGCAGTCACATGGAGGTGATAACAGAACAACTGGGAAGGTTTAGCAGGTCACAATTGGAGAGGTGAATGAACTCAACTGGGAAGTTTTCAGTCAATTGGGAGGGTGAACTCACAAACAGTTACTGGAAGTTAGCAGGTCACATTGGAGGGTGAATGAACAGACGGATCTGGGAAGGTTAGCAGTCACATTGGAGGTGAATGAACGGACAACTGGGAGGTTACAGCACATGGAGGGTGAATGAGGACAGACGGAGGTTAGCAGGTAAGATTGGAGGGTGAATGAACAACAGACTGGGAAGTATACAGTCACATTGGAAGGGTGAAGAGCAAAGACTGGAAGGTTAGCGGGTCACATTGAGGGGTGAATACAATCAGACTGGGAGGTTGCAGTCACATTTGGATGTAATGAACAACTGACTGGGAAAGGTTGGTATCACTGGGAAGGGTGAATGAACTGCAGACGGAAGGTTACGGGTCACAATGGGAAAGGGTGATGACAGACAGACGGAAGGTTAGCGGCACATTGGGAGGGTGAATGAACAGACAGACTGGGAAGGTTAGCAGGTCACTTGGGAGGGGTGAATGAACAGACAGACTGGGAAGGTTAGCGGGTCACATTGGAGGGGTGAATGAACGGACAGACTGGGAAGGTTAGCAGGTCACATTGGAGAGGTGAATGAACGGACAGAGTGGGAAGGTTTGGGGATTGACGGATTGAGGGACGGGATGGCGTTTTGGAAAACACTGCAGAACTTCACTTTCCTCTCCCTCCTCCCTCTCCAACACAGAACCAGCTTGATTATCTGTCTAGCAGAGCTTACCCAGAACCAGCTGATTACTGTCTAGCTTGAGCTTACCCTAACCACTGACTATCTCAGCAAGCTTACCCAAACCACTGATCTGTCTAGCAGAGCTTACCCAGGACCTGCTTGTGGAACTTGCGACTTTTCATACAGATTTTCTTGTTCATATTTGTTTATTGAATTACTGTACTTTTTTTCCCCCTCAAACATTTGGTTGCAGCTGTTCGAGAGACTTGGGGAATATCGTCAATTCTGGGGTTAACTCTGAGAGTTATACTCTTATAAAATAAAAGTAACAGCACAGGACATTAAGGGAACTATTGTAGCTTTCATCAAAACATCAAAGTCAACACTCAAGAGTTATGGCATATCCATTTCAATTCTGACAGATGTTTCACTGACAGACCAGGGAGAATGTGGAGCCAAGTTACTAACAATATAGAGGCTGGGTTAGAGATGGACTTTCACATGCACTCACAAAGTTTAAAACAACCTCAACCCTTTGATTAAAAAAATAATCAAATGGAAATTAAAAGTAATTAAAGTGTCTTGACAAAGCTTCAAAACACTGTGTGGGCGCAGCTAGCTTCTCAACATGACACATACTAATCAATAGGAGATCCACGGAAACACTGACAGGGTCACGGTTTCTACAGACTAGTTTCCCGGAGAAAACAAGGTCCTCTCTTTACTTGGTACCTCGGAGACAAATACATTGACAGATTCTAGCGCTGTATATTACCTATGTAAGGTTAAGTATAACGCTTTTAAAACGCCGACTGCGTCATTGCGCAAAATAGTATGCAGCGTCATCTAGATATGTGTGCAACAAAAGTTCAACAGTCACCTTCGGCTACCATTTCTGTCAAGCCGCCTACGCATACAGTTTTAACGCATACGTTCGATAAATCCAACATACGCACCACACAGAACGCACTGCAACTGCCTCTGCAACGCAACGCTGCAAGGCAAAACGCAACATTCCATTGGAAATGAACGTACTTCTGGTGTACCAAAATGCAATTAGGTGATGAATCTACAATATCATTCCCTTCCAACAGTTGGCCACCAACCGGAAGAATGCCTTTCAGTATAGATAGCCAGTGTGAACTGATAATAGCCCTTAGGAGTGGGACCAATTCTCCCAGGGTTTTGAGAGAGCCCAAACAAAAACTGTGTAGCCTATTTCACACAACAACAGATTTGATGGACGGAACTTCAGTTTGGTTACTGCAAACAGGAAATCGGATGTGATAATCGTAGTTACATTAAACCAATGTAAAGCTTGGGATCCACTATAGACTTACAGACACCAATATCTCCCAAGGAAAACCAAGAGAGAAAGGAGGTTGAAAGCAACGAGCACGGTTTTCTCCCAGTCTCAGACTACCGATTAACATTCCCATCCCACGCTGAACCTTCAGAGGGGTATACTCTACAAAGCAGGATCAATGAGTTAGCCAGCTAACTTTGATAAGCAACCAGAAATAACTATTGATTTTCTGATTCATTAAGAAATCTAAACTTAGATATGCAATTTTGTTGAGTTAATTAGACCTGGCCAATTTCAAGCTTATCTTTCAAAATAATAAATACAAAAATTCAGAATATTTCAGCGAGTTAGCTGGCTAACTCATTGATCCTGCTTTGTAGTTACACCTGAGCATTGCCGTTTTTTCTACGATAGAACAGAACCACCGCCTTTCCTCTGGCAACACTAGGTGCACGAACAGATACACTGCATGGTGCACACACACACACGCACACGCACACGCACACGCACACGCACACGCACACACACGCACACACACGCGCGTTGATGTTTTGCTCCCACATGGCATTGATATGTCTTAAAAATGTTTAATTTTTTAAATTAAATACAAATAAATCTAAAATGACGATAAAACATGAGGTTGTAAATACAAATATCAAAATCCACTTTTGTTTTCCAGTACACAGTACAGGGGGAGGATCCTCTCTACGGTCTCCTTCCCTTTTCCAGACCTCCTCACCCCCCCATCTCTCCTTCCCTCCCTCCCCCCATCTCTCCTTCCCTCCCTCCCCCCCATCTCTCCTTCCCTCCCTCCCCCCCATCTCTCCTTCCCCCCTCTCTCCTTCCCTCCCTCCCCCATCTCTCCTTCCCTCCCTCCCTCCCTCCCCCCATTCTCTCCCTCCCCCTTCTCTCCTTCCCTCCCTCCCCATCTCCTCCCTCCCCCCATCTCTCCCTTCCCTCCCTCCCCCGAATCCTCTCCGTTCCCCGTCCCGCCTCCCCCATCTCTCCTTCCCCTCCTCCCTCCCCCATCTCCCTTCCCTCCCTCCCCATCTCCTCCTTCCCCCTCGCCCTCCTCCATCCTCCTCCTCTCTCCTTCCCTCCCTCCTCCATCTCCTTCTCCGTCTCTTCCCTCCCACCCATCTCTCCTTCTCTCCCTCTGTTAAATCTCCCAAGCTGAGGTGACGCATTTAAAAACAAAAAAGGTGTCTTCTTGAGATGCTGAGCCCATTGGCCGGTTCCCTTCCTGTTGTGTCCACAATTATAATAATATCACAACTATACAGTCGAGACGGTCAGAGCTGAGTAGCAGAGTTTACTAACCAGTTTCAGCGCTCTGCAAATTCTGTACCGAACGGAGAAAATCAAAAGTTGTGGGTCTTTTTGTCAGATTTTCTAAAAAAAAGACGGAAGCTTTAACCTTGTTCTCCTTTGAAAAAGTCTGATGAGCATCATTCACTAGAGAGGGGAGAGTGGAAAGAGGTGACTCAGCACCATGTACGAATGTATGAATGCTCTATGCTGCCACCCTGCTATGGCATGGTATGTACACTACAGACCACTCTCCAGATCTACTGACATTTAGTGTGTATAATATATATATCCACATAAATATTATATACATGATATGCACAGTATCATAACATTTATATATACTTTTTCCATACAAAAACTGAAATTCCCTTCTTGTTTTCTCATTGTCCGAATGAACCGTGTGTCCCCCCCCCCCTCTCCCTCTCTCGTCTCTTCACTGCAGCGCTCAGCCCAGTCCGTGGTCCACTCTGCCCCCTGCAGGCAGAAGGGGGTAAATGGGTAGCTGCACCATGAGGTCAGGGTGAAAGCCTCTCGGTGCAGGAGTACTGATCTAGAATCAGCCATACAATCTTGTTCATTATTGATCTAAAAGTCAAAATTGCCGCTAGAACAGCTCTTCTACTCAGGACGCTTTGTGGATACAGGCCCCAGACCTCGTGTACAATATATTTTAACAACAGGTGGAAAGGAACTCCCTCCAGACAATGCTTACACCAATCCAATGCTTTTCAATCCATGACAGGGAGTGTGTGCAAGTCCACTCTTCTGAGGAGGAGGGTTGAAAATTGGGTTGCAACCTTTAAAAAATGTCACTCCTCAGTGTCGTGGCTCTGGAGGAAGGGCACGGAGACGGCGTGCTCCTGGGCCAGAGCAGCCAGCTCCTTGAGGAACTCGGAGAAGATTACGGCGCAGTAGACGGCGTTCTTCACCCTCAGAGCCTCCGCCTGCTTCTCCAGCCCCGACGCCCCTGCCCCGCCCCGGAACAGGGCGCTGTGCAGCGATTGGCCGCCGTCTCGTACGTGGGCCAGGGCGAGCTGGGCGGCGTGGCGTGCCCGCGTGGGGCTGTTGGTGTGGCGAAGGATCAGGTCGCCTAGCGAGGGTTTCCGGCTCTTCACTGGAGAAGAGACAGAGACACACAGCACAGCATGTGGTTAGGATAGGACAGGTAGACTGACCCAACAGATAGACAGTGGATAGGACAGGTAGACTGACAACAGACAGACAGGACAGGTAGACTGACAACAGACAGACAGTGGATAGGACAGGTAGACTGACACAACAGATAGACAGGACAGGTAGACTGACAACAGACAGACAGTGGATAGGACAGGTAGACGGTGGATAGGACAGGTAGACTGACACAACAGATAAGTAAATAACATTATTTATTATTATTTTTATTTTGACCCCGTTTTCTCCCCAATTTCATGATAGCCGATTGGTAGTTACAGTCTTGTCCCATCGCTGCAACTCCTACAGACACAGGAGAGGCGAAGGTCGAGAGCCATATGTCCTCCGAAACACGACCCTGCCAAGCCACACTGCTCGCTTAGCCCGGAAGCCAGCCGCACCAATGTCTCAGAGGAAACAACGTCCAACTGGCGCCCGGCCCGCCACAAGGAGTCGCTAGAGTGCGATGGGACAAGGAAATCCCGGCCGGCCGGCCAGCCAAACCCTCCCCTAACCCGGACAGTTTACCTACCTGTCCTATCCACTGTCTCTGTTGGATCAGTTGGTCCTCTGTAGCTCAATTGGTAGAGCATGGCTATTGTAACGCCAGGGTAGTGGGTTCGATCCCCGGGACCACCCATACGTAAAAAATGTATGCGCACATGACTGTAAGTCGCTTTGGATAAAAGCGTCTGCTAAATGGCTTATTATATTATAAACGCTGGGCCAATTGTGCGCCGCCTCATGGGTCTCCCGGTCACGGCCGGCTGCGACAGAGCCTGGGATCGAACCCGGGTCCGTTATCACGCCTCACTACAGACATTTCTGACAGATGCAAATACAGACATGGTTTCACAGTGTGGCCAGAACACAGAGGCCAGTCTGAGCCCGATTCCCCCTGGTGAGGAGATGTGTGTCTTTATAAGACGTAATCAGCTCTCCTGCTGCCTACCCTGTCCCCAGTCCCTTTCAGTAACCCTGGGAACAGGGTTGAAAAATTTATGCACTCACTAACTGCAAGTCGCTCTGGATAAGAGCGTCTGCTAAAATGACTAAAAAATGTAAACAGAACAGCTGGCCAGATTTGACCCAATCAACTCCAACACAGCCTCTCTGCATTATTCATTCTCTCTAGCACTCCCATGGACTCCTACAGGCTGTATGTTCCCCTCTCACCCACCCAGGGAATCAGAGCGTCGCAGGGTGGGCACCCCCATGGGTGAGGAGTCGGCCCAGTCCACCTTGCCCCTGGCAGCCAGGTAGCGCTGGGCTTTCTTCAGCATGGCAGGGAAGTCCTCATGGGACGCAGCAAACATCTCGATGCGGTTCTTCACTGAGCCCAGAACCTGAGGGAGGGAGAAGAGGCATGGCAGAGAGAGAGAGAGAAGAAGAGAGATAGGAGAGAGAGAGAGAAGAGAGCGAGGAGAGAGAGAAGAGAGAGAGAGAGAGATAGAGAGGGAGGCATGAGAATATATCATGAAAGAGAGAGCGCTCTTGAGGGTCTCTCCTTGATCTTTATAACTTCGTTCTCTCTCGATCTTCTCTCTCTCCGTCTCTTCGCTCTCTATCTCTCTCTCTCTCTTCCCCGTTTGCCTTGCCTTGTGTTATTTAACTTTGATCCTTCCTACGACGTGTGAGCAGATTTGACACTGGTGTTAGAGTTAGGGAACATCAGTGATCCTCCTAACCAGTGTGAGAGATTTGGACACTGGGGTTAGAGTTTAGTGGAACCATAGTGGATCCGTTGCCTACCAGTGTGAAGAGATTTGGACCACTGGGTTAAGAGTTCAGGGAAACATAGTTGATCACTTCCTACCTGGTATGAGAGATTGACACTGGGTTAGAGTTAGGGAACATAGTGATCCTTCCTACCTGTATGAGAGATTTGACACTGGGTTAGAGTTAGGGAACATAGTGATCCTTCCTACCTGTATGAGAGATTTGACACTGGGTTAGAGTTAGGGAACATAGTGATCCTTCCTACCTGTATGAGAGATTTGACGCTGGGCTGGAACACCATGTTGGTGTTGAGGAGGAAGGATCGGAGCAGGGGCTGAGGGTAGCAAGCAAGCTGGCCCAGAATCCCTGTCAGCAGGATGTTCACATACAGAGAGTTCTGGAGCATGTTCTCCAGCTTGGCAAACAGAACCACCATAAACGGACCTGTGGGAGAGGGAGCCAGAGAGAGGGAGAGAGATATCAGAAGTGAGAAGTGATACGTTGCACCAGATTTAGCTAACAGCTCATTTAAATCTGAAGTCCCTGGGAGAGAAAAAGAGGGAGAGCGAGGAAGAGAGAGGGGAGCGAGAATGTGAGAATGGAGGGAGGAAGGGTGCATATGCACACTAATGGAAGGCAAGATCCAACAAGAAAAAAAAACAGGCAACACTAAATATCAAAGGAAGCAACAGTCAATAATTATTTCCTTTGCACTGTGCAGCAACACCATCCAACGTCAAACATCAAAAGAGCAAGTCAACAAAAAGAAAACATAAAACCAACAAAAGTAAAATAATGGAGCAGCATCCAACCTCAAGCAAAATCCTCCAACATCAAACACCTATTCAATATCTGAGAACTGACATCTTAACACACATAAGCGAACAGTAGACGACATCTAATAGACTAACAAACAACACCATTCAGCTCTCTGGTGGTCTTTCTCACCTGTGTAGGGCTGAGAGGATGACTGTCCTAGAGGCCTGGCAGGGCTGAACATCCCCACAGCTGACCCCTCTCCCTTGGGCTCTGCTCCAGCCCCTACCCCGCTCCCCATCAGGTCAGCGTCCAGGGGCGAGGGGGGCGGTGGTGGTTCCTCTGAGTGGGGGTCTCTGGTGGTCTCCTCCAGCTGTCTGAGAAGCCCCGCCCCTCTGCTCCTCTCCCTCACCCTCTCCTCCAGCTCCCGGAGCTCCTGGGTGAAGGCCTCGATGCTGATGCCCTGGCCGTTGGAGTCCCCGGGCCCCTGCTGCCCCCCCTCCCCCGGCCCAGCCCCATCCAGGAGCTCAGAGATCAGCCGCTCCACTGCTTCTGACTGGTTAGAGAGCATTGCATCTGGAGGTCCCGATCCAGGGCCGGGTGCCGCAGCGTGGGGAGTAGGCCTGTCGTTGGAGGAGTTGGTATGGGGTTCTGAAGGCAGTGGAGCAGGCTGATGCTGGGTGGGACTCTGTTTCTGTGGTGGAAGACCTCTGGAGCTTTCCGCAGCCCCACTCCCATTCCCTTCACTGTAGAAGCCCTGGGCAGGGGTAGGGGCCTGGGTAAGGCAGGCACCCACGCCCCCATTCTGACTAGAGTCCCCCCCAGCAGGGTGCCGCTGCTCACCCAATTCTCTCTTCACCTTCTTAACCTTCATCCCTCCATCCTGGCTGTCCATACACCCGTCCCCCTGCCCCCCCAACGACGTCCCGTTGAAGACGGCCTGCTGAGGGCCCTTGGTGGGGGCGGAGTGGAGGTGGGGGTCAGCGGAGGGGGCAGAATCAGGAGGGAGAAGGAGAGGTTTGGGGAGGGGGACCTCCTCTCTCTGCAGGCTGCGTTTCTTGGTGCGGGGTGTGAGGCTGATACAGCTGTTCTTACCGATGGTGACGTCCCACTCTCCACTGTCCCTCTCTGTACTGCTCCACTCTGACCGCGCTGCTGCCACCACTGCTGCCCTCTGCTGGCCGGGGGAGTTAATACCTCCTCCATTTCCACCTCCTCCTCCCTGCTGGAATGAGAAGTGCTCTGGGAACAAGGCCAGGGAGGGGTTGGAGGTGGGGGGCGGTAGAGGGGCAGTGTTGGGTGAGGGGTCCTCGCCGTCGTAGGGGGCTGACCAGTTCCGGCAGGCCCAGGAGCACAGCTCTACCCCCCTACGGGCGTCCCTGAGGTACTCCAGGTACCCCGACTCCCAGTCCAGCCCCTCTGGGACGGGGTGCATGGGGCTGTCTGGGGACAGGGGGGTGTTGGGGCCGGCACCAGGCGACGAGGGGATCGTCTCTGTGGGGGACGAGGGACCTCCCCCAGTGCTCTGCTGGCGCATGAAGAGGGCCAAGCGGGACGGAGTGCTGGGTTTGTGGTGTACTGGAGACTCTGAGCTGGGACTGTTCAGGACTACAGACAGTGGGAGGCAGACAGACAGGGGGAGACAGACAGCCAGACGGGGGGAGGCAGCCAGCCAGACGGAGGCAGCCAGCCAGACGGGGGGAACGTCAGTCATTGTTATACTTAATGGAGATATACATTTAAAACATTTAGATATAAATCTAAGTAGTGAGTCACAAACAAAAGGTGTTGTGCAAATATACAATGCAACTTTTAAACAAAAATATGTCTAAAAATAAAGTTTTATTTTGAATTTTAGGAACCCTTTAGGTATTTTTTTTTTTTAAATATAATTTCATAAAATATTGAATTTGGCCTTTACTAAAATAGCCCATAGAAATGCACTGAATAACATTCATAATTGGCAAAAAAGCGCTTGCTGGCTATCTGGAGGGGGGGCGCTTGCTGGGGGGGGGGGAATATATATATATATATTTTTTTTTTTATTGAGTGCAGAGACATCATTCAGAATGGGATTCTGGTGTAATATGCTTTGGTGTGTGGAGTGTTTTCTAATATGCTTTAGACATATTTGCATATTGCATTATAGTCAAATCGCAAGTGATGACTCAGCAAAATGTGACAACCTCATACATTCTGTACATGGATAATGCATTGAAGGGGCAATAAAACATTCAAGTTAAAATACAAGCAAAACACATTTCACATTTACCTTAGGAAAATAAGTGGACTAAGGGGACACTCAAACACAAAGTGAGGTAATAGAGAGCGTGTGTGGGAGGTAATAGAGAGCGGTGTGTGTGTGAGGTAATAGAGAGCGTGGGTGTGTGTGTGTGTGAGGTAATAGAGAGCGTGTGTGTGTGTGTGTGTGAGGTAATAGAGAGCGTGTGTGTGTGTGTGTGTGAGGTAATAGAGAGCGTGTGTGTGTGTGTGAGGTAATAGAGAGCGTGTGTGTGTGAGGTAATAGAGAGCGTGGTGTGTGTGAGGTAATAGAGAGCGTGTGTGTGTGTGAGGTAATAGAGAGCGTGTGTGTGTGTGAGGTAATAGAGAGCGTGTGTGTGTGAGGTAATAGAGAGCGTGTGTGTGAGGTAATAGAGAGCGTGTGTGTGAGTGAGGTAATAGAGAGCGTGTGTGTGAGTGAGGTAATAGAGAGCGTGTGTGTGTGTGAGGTAATAGAGAGCGTGTGTGTGTGAGGTAATAGAGAGCGTGTGTGTGTGAGGTAATAGAGAGCGTGTGTGTGTGAGGTAATAGAGAGCGTGTGTGTGTGAGGTAATAGAGAGCGTGTGTGTGTGAGGTAATAGAGAGCGTGTGTGTGTGAGGTAATAGAGAGCGTGTGTGTGTGAGGTAATAGAGAGCGTGTGTTTGTGTGAGGTAATAGAGAGCGTGTGTTTGTGTGAGGTAATAGAGAGCGTGTGTTTGTGTGAGGTAATAGAGAGCGTGTGTGTGTGAGGTAATAGAGAGCGTGTGTGTGAGGTAATAGAGAGCGCGTGAGTGTGTGTGAGGTAATAGAGAGCGTGTGTGTGTGAGGTAATAGAGAGCGTGTGTGTGAGGTAATAGAGAGCGCGTGTGTGTGTGTGAGGTAATAGAGAGCGCGTGTGTGTGTGTGAGGTAATAGAGAGCGCGTGTGTGTGAGGTAATAGAGAGCGTGTGTGTGTGAGGTAATAGAGAGCGCGTGTGTGTGTGTGAGGTAATAGAGAGCGCGTGTGTGTGAGGTAATAGAGAGCGTGTGTGTGTGAGGTAATAGAGAGCGTGTGTGTGTGAGGTAATAGAGAGCGTGTGTGTGTGAGGTAATAGAGAGCGTGTGTGTGTGAGGTAATAGAGAGCGCGTGTGTGTGAGGTAATAGAGAGCGTGTGTGTGTGAGGTAATAGAGAGCGTGTGTGTACTATGGGTGACCTGCCTTACGCCGGTCCTTGGCAGGCAGGTCACTGGTCTCTGAAGGGGGACTTGAAGAGGGACAGGTTGTCTTGCAGTGATAATACGGTTAGTGCACCCATGATCCTTTGTATCCAGGGTGTGATGAGGATGATTTCTCAAGCTTGCCCACAATTATTTTATGGGATTGATTTTTTGCTAGCCCCCTCCAGATAGCCAGCAAGCCCCCCCCCCTCCAGATAGCCAGCAAGCACCCCCCTCCAGCCGGCCAGACAGCCCCCCTCCAGATGGCCAGACAGCCCCCCCTCCAGCTGCCAGCCCCCCCCAGATGGCCAGCCCCCCCCAGATGGCCAGCCCCCCCAGATGGACAGCAAGCCAGCACCCCTCCCCCCCAGATGGCCAGCCAGCACGCACCCCCCCAGTTAATATGTAGAATTACAGGAAATTAGCTAAAAATAAAAACTCAGCCTCATGGTAAAATGTGCAGATTAGAATGACAAACTATAAAAACTGCACATTTTTCTCTCTGCCACATGAGAAAATGAAATGTGTAGAATTGCAGGGAAATGAGGGCCAGAACGGATTTAGGGGGAGGAGCCAATCTCCTGATTCTGTAGCGTGAGGCAGCTTGATGTACAAGTACACCCCCTGAACAGAACGCTAATCTGTCGTAAGGCTTTACCCACAATCCATCTTCTTAATGCTGAGTGCCAAGCAGACGCATCAGCTCACATTTTTATAATGACTAATAGTAGCAGTAGTGTAGAATGCCCAAAGTCACTACTGCAGTAGTGAGGAAAGGAAGCTGGGAAAGGAGGAAAGGGATCTAGGAAAGAAAGGAGGAAAGGAATAAAAGTATATAGGAAAGGAGGAGAGGAAAGGAAGCTAGGGAAGGAAAGAGAGCAAGGAAAGGAAGCTAGAGAAGGAAAGAGCAAGGAAAGGAGGAATGGAAGCTAGGAAAGGATAGAAGGAAAGAGAGCTAGGAAAGGAGGGGAGGAAAGGATGGAAGAAAGACAATTCATCTAGAAAAGGAGGAGAGGAAAGGAAGCTAGGAAAGGAGGAGAGGAAAGGAAGCTAGGAAAGGAGGAATGGAAGATGGTAAGACCAAGGAAAAGTAGCTAGGAAAGGATAGGAGACAAGGTAGCTAGGAAAGGAAACTAGGAAAAAATAAGAAAATAAGTTAGGAAATAAAGGGAATAAGGAAATAACACTAGAAAAGGGGGAGAGGGGTCTAGAAAAGGGAGAGAAGGGTCTAGAAAAGGGGGAGAGGGAAGGGAACTAGGGAAGTAAAGGGAGCATGAAAAGGAGGAAAGGAAGATGACTAGGAGGAAAGGATAGAAGGAAAGAGAGCTAGGGAAAGGAGTGGACGAAAAGAAGGAAAGGGATCAAGGATCGGAGATAAGGAAGCTAGGAAAGGAGGAGAGGCAGTCAGGGAAGGAAAGGGAGCAAGGGATGGAGGAAAGGGAGCAAGGGATGGAGGAAAGGGAGCAAGGGATGGAGGAAAGGAAGCTAGGAAAGGAGGAGAGGAAGTCAGGGAAGGAAAGGGAGCAAGGAATGGAGGAAAGGAAGCTTGGATAGGAAGAAAGGAAAGAGATAAGTAAAGGAGGGGAGGAAACGAAGGAAAGGGATCAAGGAAAGAAAGCTAAGAAAGAAGGAAATTAAGCTAGGAAAGGAAGCTAAGATACCAAACAGATCCATTTCTAAAAGTAATTGTGATACACATTCAAATGGCCAGTTAATTAGACACACCAGCCCCTTCACGAAAATGGTTAGCTCCTACCGACAGTGAGTCACTTTAGAATGGGCAACACTAGTGACCTTAAGCAACTTTGAACGTGGTATGATCGCCGGTTCCAGTATCTCAGAAACGTCCGGCCTCTTGGACTTGTCTAGGGTTTAACGAGAACGGTGCGACAAACAAAACAAAGAAACTTCCAGTCAGCTGCAAAAAACAGCTTGTTGATGACAGAGGTCAAAAGGAGAACGGCAAGAATGGTGCAAGCTAACAGGCGGACCACAAACAGGCAAATAACAGCGCAGTACAACAGTTGTGTGCAGAACGGCATCTCGGAACGCACATCTCGTCGATCATTGTCATGGATGGGCTATTGCAGCAGACGACCACACCGGGTTCTACTCCTATCAGCTAAGAAGAGTCTCCAGTGGGCACGCAATCGCCAACACTGGACAATTGAGGAGTGGAAAAACATTGCCTGGTTCGACGAATCACAGTTCCTGTTGCGTCATGCTGATGGCAGAGTCAGGATTTGGCATAAGCGGCATGAGTCCATGGCCCAATCCTGCTTGGTTTCAATGGTACAAGGCTGGTGGTGGTGGTGTAATGTTTTGCTGGCACACGTTAAGTCCCTTGATACCAATTGAGCAACGTTTAAACGCCACAGCGTATCTAAAACATTGTTGCTGACCAGGTGCATCCCTTCATGGCTACAGGATGGTCCGACCCGGTACTAGATGGGTGTACCTAATGAACTGGCTGCTGAGTGTACCCATTTCTCATATTTTTATGAAAACTGAGGATGTCCTAATCTGGATTCTGTATCTTAAATCTGCACCAACTGACCTGTAAAACGCAACTCACAAATGTAATCTGCGGAGTCACAAATGTTGTCACATTCACAAAAACATATTTGACCACTTGTGTTAGTTAGAAACTTCTTTCAATCTGCATGCAGAGTAATGAAAATGGTTTCCACAAGATGATCTGACTGGGGAAGTAGAGAAAGGGCCTCATTGCCAAAATCCCAAAGTTTCCCTTGAAAAAGTTACATTCTATATTTGCACAACACATCTTTTGTTTGTGAATCACTACTTATACTGAACAAAAATATCAACGCAACATGCAACAATTTCCAAGATTTAACTGAGTTCATATAAGGAAATCAGCCAATATAAATAAATTCTTTAGGCCCTAATCTATGGATTTCACATGACTGGGCAGGGGAGCAGCCATGGGTGGGCCTTGAAGGGCATAGGCCCACCCACTGGGGAGCCAGGCCCAGCCAATCAGAATGAGTTTTTCCCCCAGAAAAGGGCTTTACTTCAGACAGAAATACTCCTCAGCCCTCCACCTCAGACGGTGAAGCAGCTGGATGTGGCAGTACTGGGCTGGTTTGGTTACACTTGGTCTGCGGTTGTGAGGCCGGTTGGACGTACTGCCAAATTCTCTAAAAACAAACTTTACATGTTGCGTTTATATTTTTGTTCAGTGTATATATTTGAAACATTGATCAAAACCAATCTCCATAATACTTTATAATGTGCACTTATAGTTAAAACTGAAGGTCAACTCTGTCCAAATCTTTAACACAACACCACGGTTTACACAACAAATGTATGCTTGTATTGTGCATTGAAAAGGTACATTGTAGGTTGCTCTGGATAAGACTGAATGAGTGAAATGATCAGTAGAAACCATGGTTAGTGGCCTGTCCGTCAGTTACCTTTCCCCCAAAGGGCGGGTTCTTCCTCCTGCTCAGCAGAGGGCAGTGTGCTAAGGCGGCAGCAGTCTGGGATGAGGGACAGGAACTTGTCAGCTGATTTACCATAGAGATCTGTCTCCCTGACGGCACGCCTCTGACTCAACATCACATGGGTACAGGGCAGCAGATACCTGTCATAATAATAATAATAATAATAATAATAATAATAATAATAATAATAATAATAATAATAATAGATTTCATGTAATTTTAATTTGCTGTAGGACAACAATACACTGTTACTATACTGCTACTAATGAGAATGTAACAGCTTCTACCTGAGAACGAGCTGCAACATGAGGTCTTCACAGTTGAGAGAGAGCAGAGTCTTGAATAGGCTCAGAGACACCATACACAGCTGTGGGACAGAAACAGACACCAGAACATTAGCCACAGGTAGAGACACCATACACAGCTGTGGGACAGACACAGACACCAGAACATTAGCCACAGGTAGAGACACCATACACAGCTGTGGGACAGACACAGACACCAGAACATTAGCCACAGGTAGAGACACCATACACAGCTGTGGGACAGACACAGACACCAGAACATTAGCCACAGGTAGAGACACCATACACAGCTGTGGGACAGACAGACACCAGAACAACATGAGCTGCAGGGTAGAGAGAGAACCAGTCACAGGACGGAAGCCAAATACGTGCTTGCAATATATATATCTGCGTTCGGGCCCCATTTCCTACATTAACTTTTTTTAAATTCATTTTACTTACTACAGCCGATATTGTATGCGGTTGTCTCACCCAGCTGCCTTTTGATGACACTAACTGTAAGTCGCTTTAGATAAGATTGTCTGCTAAATGACTAAAATGTAAAATTCTCCCTCTCCCTCCCAGAGGACCCTCAGCACTGTACACCCACCCCCCTCAATACTATAGTACTGACCCTTGAGTTGCTGCTGATGCGCGTTAGCAACGTGTCCAGGATGGTGTCGTTGTCATGGCGATGCATGAGGATGAAGCGCAGGAAGGTTTTAAGGAGAGCCGTTTCCGTGATGCTGCGCAGGAACAGATCCAGGTAGGCTGTACTGGCTATCATCTCATCTACAGATGACTGGAAAGAGGGAGGGAGGGTAAATATTAAAAAAATAATTTGGATGTTGGCAGCCAAAACGACACGTTTTAAAAGAGAAGAGTAATAACATCACATTTTGAATACTGAGCGTCGTCGCCGGCTGGAGCAGCCTAGTAGCTCCTACTTTTAATTATCTAATCAATTCTATCAATCAATCAACCAGCGAGAGTGACGCTCAGGCTAGCCAATCAGAGAGTCCCCCCCCCCCCCCCCTACCTTGTGTAGGGCGGGTCCCATGACGGGGACCAGGAAGCCGTTGTGTACGTAGTCGACCAGCTGGCTGCGCACCAGTGGGTGTGACACCTGAATGACAGCATTACAGAACTCCAGAGAGTTCATGAAGAGCACCAGAGAGGAAACGCCCATCCAGTCCTCCCTCCGCAGAGCGTGCCAGTCATCGCCCCGTACCTCGATCTTCCTCGGCAGGGAGGAGTAGAGAGCACTCAGGCCTGTGGCCAGCACCTGGGGGTGGGAAGAGGTCAGTGGATGTTTAGGACTGAATTAAAAAAAGGAGGTGAAAGATTCATTTTGACAAGGCTGTATGTGTGTCAAAATAAGGGAAAGCAGGCATGTCGGCAGCACAAACAAACATTCAGGGGGAAATACTAACAGTCCATGTATTAAATGATCTATGTTCTGATCAAATAAGGGACGGAGGAAGATGACATTTCTGGGAGATATACACATGCTCTGGATAAACAGGTCTCAGGACAGTCTCTAAAGGCAAATGTGTTCACCGTTTCATCTGGAAAAACTGTCTCTGGTCATGCCGGACTGGTTTAACTACGTACACAGCCCCTTGGAGAGCAGCTAGCCAACAGACAGTCTTGTGGACTTTGGCCCCCCAAGTTTTGTGAGCAAAAATATCATAAATATTATATTTGGCCCCCCAAGGTTTTCAAGAGAAAAAAAAATGATATATATATATATACACATAATTATAAATAATTTGTATGCTGCAAATTGACCCGCAAGAAGCCCAAGCAGATATATTTGAGTAAAACCTAATCAATTCAAACTTGACTATAAAAAGACTATAAAAACACCAGGAAATCAGCTCCAAGTGATTTTAATTTTGGAAATCTGTTCCCATGTATTCCCACGCATAGTAGAGAGATGTGATCGTATATAAATGTAAGGTTTGAATTGATTAGGTTTTACTCAATTATATCTGCTTGGGCTTCTTGCGGGTCAATTTGTAGCATACAAATTATTTATAATGATGTTCTGGGCGACCATCCACTCAATATATTTTTTTTTTTTTACAAATTCAATGCAATTTTTCTGTAAACAAATTAACAAGACTTTCAGCATGCTTATAGAGAAGGGCACTCAACATGTACTGCACTGACACAAATGACTGATGATTGGTTGAAAGAAATTGATAATAAGAAGATTGTGGGAGCTGTACTGTTAGATTTCAGTGCAGCCGTTGATGTTATTGACCATAACCTGTTGGAAAAAAGTATGCGTTATGGCTTTTCAACCTCTGCCATATTGTGGATTCAGAGCTATCTAATAGAACTCAAAGGGTTTTCTTTAATGGAAGCTTCTCTAATGTCAAACATGTAAAGTGTGGTGTACCGAAGGGCAGCTCTCAAGGCCCTCTACTCTTTTCTATTTTTACCAATGACCTGCCACTGGCATTAAACAAAGCATGTGTCCATGTATGCTGATGATTAAACCATATACGCATCAGCAACCACAGCTAATGAAGTCACTGAAACCCTTAACAGTTGCAGTCTGTTTTGGAATGGGTGGCCAGTAATAAACTGGTCCTGAACGTCTCTAAAACTAAGAGCATTGTATTTGGTACAAATCATTCCCCAAGCTCTAGACCTCAGCTGAATCTGGTAATGAATGGTGTGGCTGTTGAACAAGTTGAGGAGACTAAATTACTTGGCGTAGAGGTCAGTCCGTAATAAAGAGATGCTCTGCATTTGACACCACACTCCAAAAAGCAAGTTCTGCAGGCTCTAGTTTTGTCTAATCTTGATTATTGTCAAGTCGTGTGGTCCAGTGCTGCAAGGAAAGACCTAGTTAAAAGCTGCAGCTGGCCCAGAACAGAGCAGCACATCTTGCTCTTCATTGTAATCAGAGGGCTGATATAAATACTATTCATACCAGTCTCTCTTGGCTAAGAGTTGAGGAGAGACTGACTGCATCACTTCTTTTTATAAGAAACATTTATGTGTTGAAAATCCCAAATTGTTTGCATAGTCAACTTACACACACACACACACACACACACACACACACACACACACACACACACACTTCCCCCACCAGATGTGCCACCAGGGGTCTTTTCACAGCCCTGACACACACACACTTCCCCCACCAGATGTGCCACCAGGGGTCTTTTCACAGCCCTGACACACACACACACTTCCCCCACCAGACGTGCCACCAGGGGTCTTTTCACAGTTCCCAAATACAGAATAAATTCAAGAAAGCGTACAGTATTATATAGAGCCATTATTGCATGGAACTCCATTCCATCTCATATTGCTCAAATAAACAGCAAACCTGGTTTCAAAAAAACAGATAAAGCAACACCTCACAGCACAAGGCCTCTCCTCTATCTGACCTAGATAGTTTGTGTGTATGTATTGATATGTTGGCCACGTCTGCCTTTTTAGTTCTGTCCTTGAGCTGTTCTTATCTATCAATGTTCTGTATTATGTCATGTTTCATGTTTTGTGTGGACCCCAGGAAGAGTAGCTGCTGTTTTTTTGCAACAGCTAAATGGGGATCCTAAAAAAATACCCCCAACAAATACAGAGACTTGGCTGCACAGTGCTGCACACTCTGATCTGCACAGTGCTGCACACTCTGATCTGCACAGTGCTGCACACTCTGATCTGCACAGTGCTGCACACTCTGATCTGCACAGTGCTGCACACTCTGATCTGCACAGTGCTGCACACTCTGATCTGCACAGTGCTGCACACTCTGATCTGCACAGTGCTGCACACTCTGATCTGCACAGTGCTGCACACTCTGATCTGCACAGTGCTGCACACTCTGATCTGCACAGTGCTGCACACTCTGATCTGCACAGTGCTGCACACTCTGATCTGCACAGTGCTGCACACTCTGATCTGCACAGTGCTGCACACTCTGATCTGCACAGTGCTGCACACTCTGATCTGTAGTGGGAGCTAAACCCCTGGTATTTATAGCCTGACATCTGCACCTTCATTACGCCAGCCTCAACTGGAGCTGGCCTGTTCTGGGGTAAGGGATCATGATCTCACACATGCACAACATCTCCCTCTTATGCAAGCTCATCCATGAGTTCATTGGCACAGAGTTGGAGAGGACAGCCAAGAGGCAGAGTCAAGACACAGCATCCATCCAGCCCAGATCTGCTGCCCAGAGCAGAGCCACACCACATCTGAGAGAGCAGCCAGGTCTCTGCACAGCAGGCCATGTGGTCAGACCTCTCTCTCTCTCTCTCAGAGCTGTCAGTCTGTTACACCAACAACACAGCCTGGACTGGCCTGGAGCTGGCTACCACTGCAGCAGGAGACTGGCCTATAGCTGGCTACCACTGCAGCACGAGACTGGCCTATAGCTGGCTACCACTGCAGCACGAGACTGGCCTGTAGCTGGCTACCACTGCAGCACGAGACTGGCCTGTAGCTGGCTACCACTGCAGCACGAGACTGGCCTGTAGCTGGCTACCACTGCAGCACGAGACTGGCCTGTAGCTGGCTACCACTGCAGCACGAGACTGGCCTGTAGCTGGCTACCACTGCAGCACGAGACTGGCCTGTAGCTGGCTACCACTGCAGCACGAGACTGGCCTGTAGCTGGCTACCACTGCAGCACGAGACTGGCCTGTAGCTGGCTACCACTGCAGCACGAGACTGGCCTGTAGCTGGCTACCACTGCAGCACGAGACTGGCCTGTAGCTGGCTACCACTGCAGCACGAGACTGGCCTGTAGCTGGCTACCACTGCAGCACGAGACTGGCCTGTAGCTGGCTACCACTGCAGCACGAGACTGGCCTGTAGCTGGCTACCACTGCAGCACGAGACTGGCCTGTAGCTGGCTACCACTGCAGCACGAGACGGCCTGTAGCTGGCTACCACTGCAGCACGAGACTGGCCTGTAGCGGGCTACCACTGCAGCACGAGACTGGCCTGTAGCTGGCTACCACTGCAGCACGAGACTGGCCTGTTGCTGGCTACCACTGCAGCACGAGACTGGCCTGTAGCTGGCTACCACTGCAGCAGGAGACTGGAAGAGGAGAAAACACAGAATGAAGAGGTTCTGCTTTGTATCTATTCAAGCTAAAACACAGGGTCAGAGGTCAAGCTAACACACAGGGTCAGAGGTCAAGCTAAAACACAGGGTCAGAGGTCAAGCTAAAACACAGGGTCAGAGGTCTCCCATGTTATCATTCAGTAACAGAGCATGGGGGCGTCGGACAGACAGACAAGCTCAATCCAACGGTTCAGAGAGGAATCTGGGAGAGGGGAGTACAGGGAGCCAATGGATTTGTATGTCTACTTCCCCTCATTGACCTTGTGGATTGGGTGTTACGCAAGAGCCTGACTGGTGGTTAAGTCTGAAATGCACCCTGGGTAAACTAACCACACACCATGGGAAGGTCTCAGACAAACAGCAAAGACAAAAAGTATTTCGTTTAACTTTGTCATCGCAAACTAGGCTATATAGCTGGGGTTGACAGTAAGGTGGCAGGGCGGAGAAAATCAGAGCAGAGAGTCAGTCTTGTTTGAGCTGATTCATGAGCAGGAAGACAAGGGTAGGTGTCAAAGAGGACTGTTTAAAGATTGTCTGTTGGTCTACAGCCCTCTCCCCCCCTGGTCTACAGCCCTCTCCCCCCCTGGTCTACAGCCCTCTCCCCCCCTGGTCTACAGCCCTCTCCCCCCCTGGTCTACAGCCCTCTCCCCCCCTGGTCTACAGCCCTCTCCCCCCCTGGTCTACAGCCCTCTCCCCCCCCTGGTCTACAGCCCTCTCCCCCCCTGGTCTACAGCCCTCTCCCCCCCTGGTCTACAGCCCTCTCCCCCCTGGTCTACAGCCCTCTCCCCCCCTGGTCTACAGCCCTCTCCCCCCCTGGTCTACAGCCCTCTCCCCCCCTGGTCTACAGCCCTCTCCCCCCTGGTCTACAGCCCTCTCCCCCCCTGGTCTACAGCCCTCTCCCCCCCTGGTCTACAGCCCTCTCCCCCCCTGGTCTACAGCCCTCTCCCCCCCTGGTCTACAGCCCTCTCCCCCCCTGGTCTACAGCCCTCTCCCCCCCTGGTCTACAGCCCTCTCCCCCCCTGGTCTACAGCCCTCTCCCCCCTGGTCTACAGCCCTCTCCCCCCCCTGGTCTACAGCCCTCTCCCCCCCTGGTCTACAGCCCTCTCCCCCCCCTGGTCTACAGCCCTCATCCCCCCCTGGTCTACAGCCTCTCACCCCCCCTGGTCTACAGCCCTCTCCCCCCCCTGGTCTACAGCCCTCTCCCCCCCTGGTCATACAGCCCTCTCCCCCCCCCTGGTCTACAGCCCTTCTACCCCCCTGGTCTCCAGCCCTCTCCCCCCCTGGTCTATACAAAGCCCTCTCCCCCCCACTGGTCTACATCCGCTCTTCCCCCCCGGTCATACAGCCCTCTGCCCCCCCTCTCCCCGCCGGTCTACAACTCTGCTGATCCTCTCTGTTAAGTAGGTCAGACTGAAGCTCATCCATTATTCCATCATAGGAGAGTACCTCTACACAGTACAGCAGAGGAGAAGAGGAGAGGTACAGGGAAGAGAGGAGTGGAGAGCCAACCACATACTGCAAACAGACTGAGCAGTAACAGGCCAACAGACAGCCATTAAAACAGCAGTGCAGCAACCTAGGACACAGCCAACCCTATCCATTCGCTACACACGGCCAACCTAGCAGTCGTACAACAGCAACCCTAGCCAGTCGCATACACACGCTAACCCTACCAGTTCGCTACAACCACGCTAACCCTAGCCAGTCCGCTAACACAAGCCAGCTACACCGCTACAGCCAGTCGCTACCAACCGCTAACCCTAGCCAGTCGCTACACACGCCAACCCTAGCCAGTCGCTACACACGCTAACCCTAGCCAGTCGCTACACCGCTAACCCTAGCCAGTCGCTACACCGCTAACCCTAGCCAGTCGCTACACAACCCTACCATCCTACACCGCTAACCCTAGCCAGTCGCTACACCGCTAACCCTAGCCAGTCGCTACACCGCTAACCCTAGCCAGTCTACAAGCTAACCACACAACACCGCTAACCCTAGCCAGTCATTACACCGCTAACCCTAGCCAGTCGCTACACCGCTAACCCTAGCCAGTCGCTACACCGCTAACCCTAGCCAGTCGCTACACCGCTAACCCTAGCCAGTCATTACACCGCTAACCCTAGCCAGTCATTACACCGCTAACCCTAGCCAGTCATTACACCGCTAACCCTAGCCAGTCATTACACCGCCAACCCTAGCCAGTCGCTACACAGCTAACCCTAGCCAGTCGCTACATGGTAAGCCGAACAGACAAACACCAGTAAGGTAGACAAGTGAATACACGTCAGTAATCTAAATCTAGTCTTCCTTAAAGGATAGGTAGCATAAAATACAACCACATGTAACATATGGATTTGCATTAGTATACGCATAAAAAGTCCCAATGCAAAGTTACCTCACTTTTCTATTTTTCAAGTTTTTAAATTTAAAAAAAAAAAAATAAAAATTCAGAACAATGCCGAAGTCATGTCGTAAAATGTTTTTCCAGGGAGTGATGTAATATGCGGGACCTATAAATGTAAACTCCAACAGAACTTCAAATTAAACCAAATCGCTTGCACTCATGAGTAGTGTTGCACGGTAAACCCAAACTTCTGTACTTTTTCGATACTTAGAACATGGAAAACGTTTCGGTACTAGAATTTGTTACTTTCAGTACTTCTGTCAAATGTGTCTCACATCGTCTCCTGATCGGCTCTGCTGATACAGAGTCAATGTCCCCTCACAGCGTGAGAGCGCCGTGCCTGCCCCACCCACTCATTACTAGCTCTAGCCTGCCATGAGGAACCACTGTCCTCCCTGGGAGTCTGGCCTGCATCACCGCTCATGCTGCACACAAGTCAACACAACTGAATAATGCAACACGGCATGTAGAAAATGTTGAAACGGTTCATTACTGTTCCCAAAACTATGTCCAGCACAGGCTAGAACACTACAATGCAAGAAGAAAAAATGTTTGAGTCCAGCTTTGTAGGCCAACTTTCCTTGCTAGCTTACAGCTGAAGCCAACATCACTTCACTACCCTAGTACCTTGTTTGAGGTAACAAAATATTGCTGATTAAAGGTTATTGTCACTAAAATCGTTCAATCACTTAGTCTCCCCAGCCTCACGTCTCTCCCAGTCAAGATCATTTTTATTATATATATATACATAAATAAATAAGCCATTTAGCAGACGCTTTTATCCAAAGCGACTTAGTCATGTGTGCATAACTTTTTACGTAGGGGTGGTCCCGGGGATCGAACCCACTACCCTGGCGTTACAAGCACCATGCTCTACCAATTGAGCTACAGAGGATACACACACACAAAAATATATATATTCCCCTTTATTACTTTCCAACCCCGCCACCCTTTCCCTACTTGGAGTAAACTAGTGAACAACAATGCTTAGGCCTCTACTTCCAGCTTATACATACTATCAGTCAAGATCATCTTTGCTCTAGCCTCAAACTGACTGTGTGTAAATGACATCATGGGTCTTAAAAGAGACTGCGCATACTTTTATAAAAGAGATTGCTTCTTCTATGCAAATGTTGTTGATAAGTACAATAAAATGTCCCAAATGGAAGGGAAACATATTGTTATTCCATCTGTAGCCTCAGATGAAAACATTAGCCAAAACAAGTTCAATAAATCAATGCATGTACACACTCCTATTGAATAGGCTTAGGCCAGTTTTATCAATACAGATTTACCATTCAAATAAATTATTACCATTATGTAGTTAGACTGGTAAGAAAACTAAGTCAAATTGATTGTATGACGTTATAATTTATTCATTAAATGAATCCATTCAAAAATCTAACATTTAAAATGAAATGATATTGAACTCAAAAAGATCTGTCTGGATCAAGTTCCATTCTGTGACTGGCAAATACGCCTTATTTTCTTGCCGTGGTATAGTTTTGGTATCAAGTATCGTGATGGTATCGAGTATCGTGACACTAAACCTGGTATCGGTACGAAGACTAAATTCTGGTATCGTGACAACACTACTCATGACTACTGGTTTCAAAAATATATATAATCTGCCAATTTATAAGCAAAAACTATGAATTTATTTACAGTTGAAGTCGGAAGATTACATACATTTAGGTTGGAGTCATTAAAACTCATTTTTCAACCACTCCACAAATGTCTTGTTAACAAACGACAGTTTTAGCAAGTCGGTTAGGAGTCATTTTTCCAACAATTGTTTACAGACAGATTATTTCACTTTTAATTCACTATCACAATTCCAGTGGGTCAGAGGTTTACATACACTAAGTTGACTGTGCCTTTAAACAGCTTGGAAAATTCCAGAAAATCATGTCATGCCTTTAGAAGCTTCTGATAGGCTAATTGACATCATTTGAGTCAATTGGAGGTGTACCTGTGGATGCATTTCAAGGCCTACCTTCAAACTCAGTGCCTCTTTGCTTGACATCATGGGAAAATCAAAAGAAATCAGCCAAGACCTCAGAAAAATTATTGTAGACCTCCACAGGTCTGGTTCATCCTTGGGAGCAATTTCCAAATGCCTCAAGGTACCACGTTCATTGTACAAACAATAGTACGCACAAGTATAAACACCATGGGACCACGCTGCCGTCATACCGCTCAGGAAGGAGACGTGTTCTGTCTCCTAGAGATGAACGTACTTTGGTGCGAAAAGTGCAAATCAATCCCAGAATAACAGCAAAGGAAACAGGTAAAAAAGTATCTTTATCCACAGTAAAACAAGTCCTACATCGACATAACCTGAAAGGCCGCTCAGCAAGGAAGAAGCCACTGCTCCAAAACCGCCATAAAAAAGCCAGACTACGGTTTGCAACTGCACATGGGGACAAAGATCATACTTTTGAGAAATGTCCTCTGGTCTGATGAAAGAAAAATAGAACTGTTTGGCCTTAATGACCATCGTTATGTTTGGAGGAAAAAGGGGCAGGCTTGCAAGCCGAAGAACACCATCCCAACCGTGAAGCACGAGGGTGGCAGCATCATACTGTGGGGGTGCTTTGCTGCAGGAGGGACTGGTGCACTTCACAAAATAGATGGCATCATGAGGAAGGAAAATTATGTGGATATATTGAAGCAATATATGAAGACATCAGTCAGGAAGTTAAAGCTTGGTCGCAAATGGGTCTTCCAAAATGGACAATGACCCCAAGCATACTTCCAAAGTTGTGGAAAAATGGCTTAAGGACAACAAAGTCAAGGTATTGGAGTGGCCATCACAAAGCCCTGACCTCAATCCTATAGAAAATGTGTGGGCAGAACTGAAAAAGCGTGTGTGAGCAAGGAGGCCTACAAACCTGACTCAGTTACACCAGCTCTGTCAGGAGGAATGGGCCAAAATTCACCCAATTTATTGTGTGAAGCTTGTGGAAGGTTACCCGAAACGTTTGACCCAAGTTAAACAATTTAAAGGGAATGTTACCAAATACTAATTGAGTGTATGTAAACTTCTGACCCACTGGGAATATGATGAAAGAAATAAAAGCTGAAATAAATCACTCTACTATTATTCTGACATTTCACATTCTTAAAATAAGGTGGTGATCCTAACTGACCTAAAACAGGGAATTTTTACTAGGACTAAATGTCAGGAATTGTGAAAAACTGAGTTTAAATGTATTTGGCTAAGGTGTATGTAAACTTCCGACTTCAACTGTATTGTTACAAATCAACTTGCAAGGTTGCTAGCCAATTAGCCTGCTAACATTTTACATTTACATTTTAGACATTTAGCAGACACTCTTATCCAGAGCCACTTACAGTTAGTGAGTGCATACATTTTTATATACTGGCCCCCCGTGGGAAACGAACCCACAACCCTGGCGTTGCAAGCGCCATGCTCTACCAACTGCTAACGTTATCCCTACTAGCCTGCTAACGTTACATGAGTCAGCCAGTTGCTATCAACACCTACCGTATTTTCCGTACTAAAGGCGCACCGGAGTACAAGCCGCAGCAGCTAAATTGAATGATATTGAATGATGTGTACATATATAAGCCGCACTGGACTATAAGCCGCAGGTGTTTTAATGTTTAATTACCATATGTAAGGGTTCGTGCACAGAGGGGATTGTCGGGAAAGAGACAAACTGTCTCGCTCTCGTTCTGTCTCTCGTACCACTCTCGGTTCCACTTTTGCGCGCTACCTGTCTCACTCTTTTCCGGCCTCCAGCTTTTCCTGCTGGAGCCCGCCGCTTAAAGGTAGGGGGCACGGACCGGTCATAGAGCCCATAGAGTTAAAGTTGGTGGGCTGTAACCTGTAAAATCCATAGATTTAGGAGGTCTTCTAGTGGCCGTTAGCTGTAAAAATCAATAGATTAGCCGCACCGTTATATAAGCCGCAGGGTCGAAAAATTGGAAAAAAGGCGCGGCTTATAGTCCGAAAATTACGGTACATTAAAGTAAACCAATGTTTTGGTAATGCATAATGCCATCTAACCAGTTATCAAATAATTTTTGCTATATGCAATTATCTTAGCAAGCAAGCTAGCCAGCCAGCTAGCATTATCTATTTAGCCAACTAGCCATTAGCTAGCCAGCCTAGCCAACCACCACGGGTACGGTCGGCAAGCGTGAGCCCAAATACTGGAGACCAGCTAGAACACAACTAGCATAACTACAGATTGATGGCTGGGGCCCATCCAATGCAGGCTGAGTTAGCTACTAAAGCCAGATGAGGTGGCTGCTTAAAACGGCCGATGGAGAATCAGGGAAATCCCAAATAGATAGATTCCAGATGTGCGTCAACTAGCGCTAAGCTAAGGTGGAAAAGGTTATAAAACTCCCATAGCCTACTTCACAAAAATGCCAAAAAGTTAACAAAAAGGAGAACAAACAAGGTTCTACACAATTAGAGCAAGCAGGTATGATTTTCTCTTTAGTTTTGAGCCCATTTGAAGGCACCAGAGCCTGCCGTGCTAACTGATTCCCATTCGATAACAGCCACAAAGTATGTGAAGAGCATGCTGCATGGCAGCATAGTGCCCCATCTGTTTCTTGTGGTGGATTGCAGCTCATCACCACTAACACTTGGTCTGGAAAGTAATTACGTGCTAGCATGGCTAGTGACTAACGTTAGCTTGAGCTAGCTACCGAGCTAGCCTACAAACTCTGTAGCACAGAGTAGAGAAATAGTGCATTGTGGGTAGTTTAGAAGATATCCCGGAAATGCGTTAATAAATATGTAATAACCCAACAACAACTTAGTTTGTACTTCTAGGTAACCAGATTGTGAATACAACTAGTAAGTCTGACCACTGTGTTACATTAGTGAGTAAAAACTCTAATCCCAACAAAGAGAGATAAAACATATATATGTAGGATCTTAATTGTATCACTTTTGTTGCTGAGAATTTTTCTGTACAGCAGGAAATGCAAACTTGTAGTGTATTCAAGGTTTAAAATGGCTTCTAAAGTTGGTCATTCCCACTTTTAAAAATGTCAGACTTGACCTAACGAAAAATGTATCAACCCTTACAAAAAATGTCAATTAATTATAGGATGGGTTGGCTGACAATGTCACGAAAATGATATGCACATCGATGTGGCCGGAAAGTGTGTGTTGTTACGATTCTGAACGGTCAGATATCTAGCAACAATGACAAGAAGCTGCCTTGTGGGGAATCGTAGGTTAATCGTTTTTCAGCTCGTTGTATCTTGTTATTGATACCATCTGTCCGCTAGCTAACCAACAACTGTAAGGATGTATTGCACAGACAAGTGCTCATTGTGCAAATGTATTTGTTTTCAATAAACATTTGGAGACAAAATATATTTTTACATGTTGCCAACCGTTTAAGCCAACCCTGTCGGTTTTGCACCATAGTTGCACACTCGTCGGTTTTGTTATTAAAACAACCAATTCACATAATAACTCATATTTCCACTTGCTGCAGGATTATTTTCCTGCTGTTGCAAACTGGCTCAAATTATAAATTAAGATCCTATATCTGTAACATCAGCTGCTCCAGCCATTTATTTATTTATTTTTTACATTTTACCTTTATTTAACTAGGCAAGTCAGTTAAGAACAAATTCTTATTTACAATGACGGCCTACACCAGCTGTGTGTTCCCTTTTCGACTCAGTCTGCATCTTTGCAATGAAACGCCAGAATTTTCTCCATCTCCTTAGCTATCATACTCTAATTCCACTAATTTCAAAACTCGGTCCTCCAGAAAGTGGAGAGCAACACTTATGCAGTTCTACTACGTTATATCTTTTTTAAAAAGCTGTGTTAGAAAGGATTACCTACACATACTGACCAGCTCATATTAGACAGAAGCGTGCTACATGGCAGGCCAATTGGAACTAACCTCTCTGCATGTCCAGCCCACTCATTATCTCAGCCAATCATTGCTAGCAGGAAGGTTGCTTTCTTTTTCTGTGGCTAAACAAACTAGGCTCGTAATTTAACAAATTGTATTCGTATTTACAGATGGCATACAAGTTTGTCATTTAAGGCACAGAAAAGTTAAATACATTAAATTAAATCCCTCACCGGGCAGAAGTAGGAGTTCTCTGCGATGTAGCATGCCACGTTCTGGTTGCTGGCGGAGGTTGCCATGACGAGGAGGAGGGCGTCGCGGGCCTGCTGTCCGATGGCCCCGTCACGGTGGATGAAGGGGACCAGCAGGGAGAAGATGAGAAGGTTGGTTGGACCCTGTTGGGCCGGCACTGTCCTGAACAACAGCTCCAACACCGCAGGAGCACGCGCCATCGACACACAGATCTGGTGATGTTGAGATCACAATATCTTTTTCATTTCATCAAACGTAAAAAAAAAACCCATAGAAAACGACGTGACACAATGAACAGGACTAACAGTTACAGTACCAACATTATATGGATTACAAAAGCCTTAGCAGCTCAACAGTCCATGTTACTTTTCAGATGAAATCAAACCAGTAACATCTAATGCCATCCATGCCTCCATTGAGCACAACGTTTATTTTCCTTTGCACTGTGTGTATTCCATCAGGGACCACGTTGGAAACAAGTGTTATCCCCTGGGTTGTGCTCAGAGCATCTTTTCCCCAATAAAAATCAAATCAATCTGTTCCACCCACCTGGTTGAGCAGCAGCACCAGGCTGTTCTCCAGAGAGGGAGGACAGCCCAGCTGAGGCTCAGCACAGGCCCCCAGCAGGCCCAGCAGAGGCTGCAGCACCGCCTTGTGTTGGAGCAGTGGCTGCTGAGACTGGCCTATCAGCATCTCAAACAGCTTGAGTAGCGCCCCCTGGCTGTCGGGGTCCAGGCCGCGCCTCAGGTGCCACTGCACCACACGCTCCAGGACGTTCTCAGACACCACCAGGTCCAGGATGGGGCCAATGGGGGGAACGTTACCGGGCCCCTCACACTCCCCCGGTCGCTCCTCGGCCAGAAGGCACAGCATCTGGTCGGTGTGGTTCCGCACCGCGGTGAGGTCATCACTAGAGCTTGACGAATCCCGCTGCTCCAGTACCCAGGACACCTGTAGGAGGGAGAGAGATTGGGGGGGGGGGGGGGGGGGGGGGGGGACTTAAACAAATGTTTTTCCCTGATCCTCAGTGTCCTGGGTGTTGGCTGGATGTCACATGCGTCACTAATTAGTAACTGCTTTGGCCATCAAATGGACAAAGTGTTGTTGTGTGTGAAACCCCAAGTGTGTGAGAATGAGTTAACATGAGCGTCTGTTGTTGACTCAGTGATGAATGTGCTGCTTAGCAGGAAGCTTGTATAGACAGATTGATAGAGATCTGCTTGTGTCTGGAGTTAGTTTGGTGACATTAATATCAAGCAAAACTACTGAAGTCGAGAACAACATTCTTAGTATTGAAAACAAAAATAATGATATTGAAAGCAAAACATAAACCCAAAAGAATTGAGCAAAGAAAGTGCAAACAAACAAATTCAAATAGATCGTATCAGTGAAAATGTTTCTATAACTCAATTGTGATCAAACACCTCTTTGCCTGTATATTTTTTGGCACTTGCAAGTTTTGGCACATGTATTACAGCATCATGCATCCCACTGCTGGTTTGCCTCAAGCTAAGCAGGGTCGGTCCCTGGATGGGAGACCAGATGTACCTGGAAGTGGTGTTGGAGGGCCAGTAGCTGACACTCTTCCTTCTGGTCTTAAAGGCACCCCAAGAAAACATTCCCAAATTACAAACACTTAAATTAAAAATTGTTATAATATTGTAATGTTGTTCTATAAAATTGGGTTTGAGGTTCTCCAAATCAGCTCTAACTTCAGAAACAATCCCACACAACTCCCTGTGGTCAGCGTCACACGGTGAATAAAAAATAAATAAATAATAAATAAAGTCTCAAAAGTGGGATAAGTGTGAAAATTAGGTGGGCGAATTGGGTGTCTACTGGTCAATCTGCAGGGCACATCTCATCCCTGAGAACTTCTACTGTCTGTGAGAACTTGCTGTCCCTAACAATAATGTGTCTTCTAAAGCATTTCAAAATAGCCAAGCAGCACCAGCAGGGACCGTGATGATTATCACTGGCATGGAAGTGCTACCTCTATGCTAACGTTAGCTAGCTATAGAGCTACCGCATTTAGCTCACGTCTTCCATCTAAATTACGCTGATAAAACTAACCCGATGTAAACATGTCTGCCAGCGGTTGGTAGCCAACTGCTGATGCTGTCATAGATAGCACTATGGGAAAGAGTAGTTTAAGGTGTTTGTGGGGGCTGCGCGTTGAGGTAATTTGGTCGTTTTGTGGCTCTGGGGGAGTTTTCTATACAGCCTGCCGAGTGCGGGCTAAACTGAAATTAGACGCTTCGGTCATGGATCCGATCGTGGATCGGGTAGCATTTAGGAGAAGCCCCGGACCCATGCTTTCTTTGGAGGGGTGGATTGTGGATTTTGGTCCATGGGAAAGTTTATTTATTTTGGGATCAATGTGGTCATAGTTGCTTCTTGTTGAAGTGGCAGCAGATATATGTTAGCTTGCTATGGCCTCTTCCTCCATTTCTGAATTAATTTGTGGCCATTTCTTTCTAGCTGGCAAAATAGGTGAGCTAGATTTTGTTTGTGTCCTGCCATATATCGATAACATAGCTACATTTGTCACTGGTACGGGCTAGTAAATATCCTAAACCTAGCCAGTTAGACCGTTTAGCCGCAAGCTAAAACCGGCGAGAGAGGGAGGAGAGAATTAACTTTCAGTTTCATCCTGCTGCTGGCTTGCTCGCTAATGTTCACTCAAATACGTTTTTCCCACATGTAACTGATGAAATTAGATTGGTTTCTATAAAATATTGTAATTGTGTTAATATGTTGTGAATATTGTAGAAAAATCCTCACAGCCGTTTTCCATATTAAAAAGTGAAGTGCCACCATGTACAGTAGACTACTGCCAGGCAATATGTTCCTCCACCATGTAATAATAATAATAATAATAATAATAATAATAATAATAATAATATGCCATTTAGCAGACGCTTTTATCCAAAGCGACTTACAGTCATGCGTGCATACATTTTTTGTGTATGGGTGGTCCCGGGGATCGAACCCACTACCTTGGCGTTATAAGCGCCGTGCTCTACCAGCTGAGCTACAGAGGACCACATGTACAGTAGACTACAAGGCAATTGCTGTGTTCGAATACCCATACTAACATACTTACTACATACTTAATGAGTATATACTATCAGTTCATTTAAGTATACTGTAAATGAAAAGGTATCCTTTCAGTTGAGCGTACTAGCGCTTCGCCTGTCTAACAGAAGTTGATGCTGTTGCCATGCAACCTCTTGCTAGCTTGTTAGCATAACAAATGACCAGCTAGACATTTTACGATTTCATGTGTGTACGTAGATTCAAATCTAGAGCTGCCACACTGGACGCTCTGGTTGAGGATTAGTTATCCTTCTACCCAGCAGTGGGATGCAGGATGCTATGCTGCTGGAATCAATGTGCCAAAACTTGCAACTGCAAAAAAAATTTGAAACAAATGGACAATGTTAAAAAAATAAATTTGGTTTACGTTTTGCTTCCAATAATAGTTTTTTTGCTTGCAATGCTATGAATTTAGTTCTCTTTTTCAGAAGTTTTGCTTGATATTAAATGGCACAAAAGTAATTCCATACTTTTTCAGTTTTGTGTTGCATGCAGCAGGTAGCCTAGTGGTTAGTGTTGGGCCAGTAACCGAAAGGTTGCTATTTCGAATCCCTGAGCCGACAAGGTGAAATATCTGCCAATGTGCCCTTGAGCAAGGCACTTAACACCAATTGCTCCAGGGTCGCCATCAATAATGGCTGATCCCTGGCCGTGAACTCACTCTCTAAGGGTGTCTGAGGGAGAGTTGGGATATGCAAAAAACATATTTCGATCTCACACTCGTACAGGTTACCCACTTGTACATGCAGTGAAACAGGACAGATAAGTTTGACCTTTGTGTGCTCTGCCCCTCCAGAGGCCTGCAGTCAGTAGTTGCATCCCAAGTGGCACCCTACTCCCTATATAGTGCACTATTTTTGACCATAGGGCTCTGATCAAAAGTAGTGCACTATATAGGGAATAGGGTGCCATTTGGGACAGTCAGTGTGTGTGGTAATGGTCTTGGCTGCTGGGAGTCCAGAGGCCTGGCAGTAGAACAGTAGACCGCTGTCCTCCGTGGAAAACCACCCTGCTAACCGAACGCTGCTGCACAGAGGGTGGGCGCGTTCCAGGGCGTCTTATTTGGCAATCGCATTTCACATCTCAGAGGATTGGCGGCAGGTAGCTTAGTGGTTAAGAGCGTAGTGCCAGTAACCGAAAGGTCGCTGGTTCTAATCCCCGAGCCGACTAGGTGAAAAATCTGTCGATGTGCCCTTGAGCAAGGCACTTAACCCTAATTGCTCCTGTAAGTCGCTCTGGATAAGAGCGTCTGCTAAATGACTAAAATGTAAATGTATATTAATGTGGTTCCTGAGACGTTCCATGATCTGATCATCTGTGCAAAAAAATAATAATAATAAAAAAAATACTAACTGGACACCAGACTTATGGGGTAAACAACTCATTTTATCTGGTCTTTTATCCTCTGGAAATACAATGTACATCCTGCTGTATGTGTTTTTACCCTCACTGCAGTGATGAGGTCAGTCGAGACCTTGAGAGGCAGGCAGGGTGCAGCATTATTAATTCCTGTACAGGCCGTCTGGCAGGCAGGGTGTAGCATTATAAAGGAAGAGCTTTCTGTTGGCACATTTCAAGTGTGTATCTATCAATATACACTATACATAAAAGTATGTGGACACCCCTTCAAATTAGTGGCTATTTCAGCCACACCCGTTGCTGACAGGTGTATCAAATCGAGCACACCGCCATGCAATCTCCATAGACAAACATTGGCAGTAGAATGGCCATACTAAAGAGCTCAGTGACGTTCAACATGACACCGTCATAGGATGCCACCTTTCCAACAAGTCAGTTTGTCAAATGTCTGCCCTGCTAGAGATGCCCGGGTCAACTGTAAGTGCTGTTATTGTGAAGTGGAAACGTCTAGGAGCAACAACGGCTCAGCAGGGAAGTGGTAGGTCACACAAGTTCACAGAACGGGACCGCCGAGTGCTGAAGCGTGTAAAAATCGTCTGTCCTTGGATGCAACACTCACTACCGAGTTCCAAACTGTCTCTTGAAGCAACGTCAGCACAATAACTGTTCGTCGGGAGCTTCATGAAATGGATTTCCATGGCCGAAGAACCGCACACAACATTAAAATCGCAATTCCAAGCATTGGCTGGATTGGTGTAAATCTCGCCGCCATTGGACTGCCAGGAAAACACTACCTGACCGAATGCATAGTGCCAACTGTAAAGTTTGGTGGAAGAGGAATAATGGTCTGGGGCTGTTTTTCATGGTTTGTAAAAATAACAATGGGAAAGAGTATATGCGATTGTACCGATTCTCATGGCAACATGGTTTTATGAACAAGGTACAAAAAAAACAACACTTGATTCAACACTTTCGAGTTTTCAATTTTTAACATTATTTTATAAAATTCTTGCCACCAACAGAACGAGATATATATATATATATATAGGGCATACAACAATCTCAGCTCTGTAGATTTTGCTTTGAAGAGACAATCATTACATAATTTATTCTGGTATTGCCCCTATGTAGCTTGTTTCTGGCCAACAGGTTTCCGGAACTGGTTAAAAAAATATAAAAATATAAAACCACAGATCACTTAAAATATTGCACATGGAAACAACGAGGTGTTGTGGTGATTGTGGAAGGCTGAGCAGTCATGAGGTGATTAAATACTTGTTAGGAAAGGTTATTTTGAGTCACTCTTGATATATAAAAGACAGTTGTCAAAAGTATATGTAAAAGTACTAGCAGAAAAGTGAAAAAAATAAAAAAAAAAAAAATTTTTTCGAGGGGGGGGGGTTGAGATGGGACTTTTTCCCCCCCGGGGGGATTTTTAGCAAAAGGGTTCTTCCAAACGACTTACAGGTCAAATTTTTACTACGGTGGCCCGG